TATATATATATATATATATATAGAAGAGGTGGAAAACGAGCATACGGCTCACCTGGTAGTAAATAACTACCACCGCCCATGAACAACTGCAACATCAGGGAAATTGCAGTTGTTCATGGGCAGTTACTGCCACTACACGGTAAATCTTCCTGAATATCGCTGAATAAAAAAATAACTACGGTTGTCAACCCGTTCGCCAGTCGCAGCAACTATGACAAATATCCTTACTACGGAAAATTAGTAGGTACGTTCATCAGTAAACTTCTAATAGGCTGTAACGGATTACCATCCATCATATTTCTAATGGCTTCCTAATGGATTCCATTAACAAGCCATTAGAAATACTATAATGATCTTTATTCTTTTTTGTATTCGTTTAGTGTCATGTTAACTAACGGTAATACCGGTTTCAAATTCAAATTCAAATTCATTTCATTTCAGACAACAAAGATGGGTTAGTATTACATTATCGCTTATAAACTAAGTGTAAGTATTGATAAAAAATTGAATTAAATTATATTATATTATATTAGAATTAAATTAATTCAAACTAAAATCATATTAATTCAAATTAAATAAAAAAAATTGATTAAATTAAATTCTAATTTGTCATGTACCTGAGAGGCACTCCGCGCGGTCGACACCTAGAAGAGTTACCATCCACTGTATGAGTCATCTTTCGCACGAAGTGCCTCACAATAGGCGCATGCGGATCATCTGCCACCGTTCTTAGGATGCTGTTGTCACTTCTCCGTATCCTTCCTATCAGCGACGCTACTTTTTTCCGAACTACGACATGAAAACCATCAGTTCTGGTTTGTGCAAACATGCCAGAAGCACTACAGAAGCGGGGGAGTGCCAACATCATCCTGAAAACATTATTGTACTCCGTTAAAACATTGTTTCACCTCCGCAACTCAGAAAGCACGTAAAGCCGTTGGCCCTGCGCATGATCTTTTTTCGGATGTGTCAGATTAACATCTTATCATAGTCTTCGTTAAGACTCGTTGCCGTGATCAAAATTCAGTCTGGAGGACATTATTATCGCGAATTGCAATAAAATACTAACGCTTGTTAAAGTATAAAATTGGACCGTAAAATTCTATAACTGTACATGAACATTTTTTGTTGTAGGAAGTATTTGGCATAATTGTCACGCTTGGCAGGTTAATCAACGATTTGACCTTGATGCTCTTCGCTAGTGTAGTTATCGTATAATGTTTGGAATGAAAGAGTAGGTTGTTCCACCATCAATGGGAAGCCATAACATTTTTCTGACATTTCCCATATTTGATTATTAAGATACCCACAAAATAATTTGAAGGTATAGAAAAATGAGATTTTCGCAATTATTTTTTTTATATATAAATATTTATTTCATTTTATTCTTCGAAGCTGACTTAATCCATAGATAGATATTTCATTGCTAATTACATACTCTGTAACTTATATATATAGAGAGAGTATATTATATTATATTAGGTAGCTTTATATTTTGAATCGGGGACCATTTTTTATTAGATAATTGAAATTATGATAAATCGCTTCACAAAGTAATTGAAGAAATTTTGTTACAAAGTCAATATTGCATCTGTTCTAAGGTAAAGAAAAGTGGAGTTAGTAAAATTACAGCCTAAGAAAACTGAAAGTTTTGTGTGATATTCTAAATATAGATATAGATTTCACAACAAATTAAAGTTCTATTGTTCTGTATTTATTATGTCTTAATAAGTGTTTAAGTTTTTTAAAAACTATAAAATATAAATTTTACGCGTGATTTAAACGTGGGTTTAAGTCACCGTGTAATAATATAAAATACAGTTGCCGCTTCTATATTTTGTTTACTCGTGTGATAGATTATTGTGCTCTTTACCTTTTTACTTCACAATTGCAGCCTAATTTTAATTGTAGTAAAAGAGGTAAGATTCCTTCCTAGAAGTCCGTCTGGTTAGGTACCACCTCCCTTATCTATTTCTGTCACCAACAGCAGTACATGCTCTATTTTCAAATGATGTCTGAGTTTGAGTTTACTTTACCTGTAGTTCTCCGATGAATTTAATCCTCTTGATTCGTAATACAAGTAACTTATACACATATATAACACGTTATTAATACGTAAAACATAAAACAGGTTGAGGACACCTGCGGCATATGTGTATAGAAGTTGAGAATATCTAAATTCATTTTTTTTTGTATTGTATAAATAGCAGTGTAGACGATTAACTTTATAATCGCGTAGTAATTTGAAATGTGTTGTATTTTGAATAATTCTATTTTTTTTCATTAGCCTAGAAAATGCAAGTTCTGTGCGTTTTTCTCTCCTTGAAAGAATTTGACCGTTTTTAGCAGCTGGATTGACGAATACAGAACTAGACATCTTTTACCTTTGCCGCTGCCACCCGTCGTCATTCTGCATAATTCACGTAGCTTATTTTTTTTTATAAAATAAAGGTAAATAGTTATATACAAGACCTTTATTTTTGACGTAAGAAAAGTAAAAATCGGTATACCTATAGGCTTCATAAAAGAAATATCAAAATATGATTTTTGATTGATTATGATGATATTTGAAAATAGATCGTATCCACCTTCTTACCATTTTCTTAATAATATTAGTATTAATAATAGGTATTATTGTTCAACTGAATAATTGAATAATTAAGTTGAATGGTTAATTTATTTGTGGCAGTTACTGATGATAATGTTTTTCTATCATGCGGCTTATATTTGAATACCTATGTTTATGTTTTAAAACTATTTTGAGAGACCAAAGCTAATATTAATAATATGTTTGATTCTTAACTTTTTTTCCCCAAAATACACCTTCGGAATTAGGTTAAAATTGCCTTTATGGTTTTCTTCTGTTAAACACTTTAATTAATGTTGTTTATATTTTTGACGTAAATATGCTAATGCTGTTTTTAAATTACTTGAAATTCCACTGTCACTAAGCAATTAAGTGCTTTTGAATTTTCATACCAAACTAAAAAAAAATATTATTGGCGTTAGTAAAATAGGATACTGACAGTAATGGATCACAAAATAATATTTTTATACGCTCTTACAATAATGAAACTAAGACGTTACATAATGAATAAAGGGCTATAACATTTACTTAATGGTAAGTTATAAGTTAAGATATCAAGTGAAGAAGTTAAGAAATGAAAATGTAAATATATGTAACTACATGTATCTATATTTCACTTTATGACACAATTTAAAGCAAACACATTACAACATTAAGTATTTTAAACATCTTTTTGAAATATCAAAGCCGTTAAATATAAGGTCAAAATATATGAGAACATACGACAATGCATAAAAGGTGGAATTATGAAGAAACTCTGTCAACTCATTGTGACTTTATAATAATAATAAGGCGTAGGGAAGTGATAAGGCGTAGGGAAGTGATAAAGCGTAGGGAAGTGATAAGACGTAGGGAAGTGATAAGGCGTAGGGAAATGATAAGGCGTAGGGAAGTGACGACCCCATCGCCCGCTGACGTAATGGTTATGTGACAAAACTGCTACGTCAGCGTAGTCAGTCAGCATCTTGCCAAGAGGTGTGAGCACCGTGCCACGGCAGAATTGAGGGTGCTAATTTGGGCCCGCTTGTGCTTTCGGCCAAATCATGAAACGGTGCCGGGCCTGGGCGTCTCCCGTTAATTGACGCCCAATTTATGTATGATGGAAGGAAATAGACTGCGTTTAGGGCCGCTGCCTGATGGTCGCCGGGGCGCGTCTGGAGCAGGCGCTGGACGCAACAGCATGCGGGCCGCCAGCCGATTGCGAGGTGCTGCACGACCACCTAGCAGCCCCTCGCATCCATCATCCCCACCAGCTGGCTTAATGTTGGCAGGGTCTTCGCGGGCCCAGCAATCAGCACCCGCCACTGGTGGAGTACGCCGCATGCGTTGGTCAATGCAGATGAACAGCAACGCATTACGGGCGTATTTTAGGGCGAAGGGGGGAGAAATTGGAGGTTTTGCGTATCGGGCTAGGATGCATCGACTTTTTGCTGAGCTGGAGCCATCTATAACCGTCACCAAGCAAAACCTGGCAGACCGAGTTCGGTATATCTTGCGCTCAAACATATTCGATAGCACCGAACTCGAACGGCTACGACGTGAGGCTGTACCCTCATCGGATGACAATGCTACGGCTGAGGATGCGGCGCCACAAGTTGCAGAGCAACCAGCACACGTGGATGTCACCGTGAATCTTTCAGTTATGGTTGGTTCAGACGATGATGGAACAGTCGCCCAGGAACTAGAACTAGAGCAAATGAGGAGTACATTGGAAGAGGCTATTTTGGAAACGCGCAGTATGCCTCTCGAAAATCGACCGCGACTCCCGCGCATGCCCCTAAGCAAGCGGAATCGGGCTGTCGTGAGGACTCTCAACCCAATGCTGGTGACCTATTTGGAAGCCAGCCGTGACCTTTGCGAGACGGACTCAATTCTTTTTGGCGCCGCACTGGCAGTTTGCCGCATTATTGGCTCCAAAGTTCCCACGGCTGGACGCGCTACTAGACAAAGTAGCGCCATCCCAACCTGGAGAAGAAGGATTGAGGACCGTATCGCAAACGCAAGGGCCCTTATCGGCAGACTGATAAGCTTCAGGTCGGGCAATAATAGGCCGAGAATTGTGCGCACTCTCAGGATGGTGTTTGCTGGGACAAATATTAGTTTGTCCCAGCCGGATATAACGCAAAAACTGACGGAGCGCATAGACGACCTGAAGCAGAGAATCGCTGCTTGGGGGAAGCGGATTCGGCGACATACCGAGAGGTCGACACGTTTCAACCAGAATCGTCTCTTCCGGAGTGATCAGAAGAGGCTCTATGAATCACTGGAGCGACCAATGGTACGTGGAACGGGCCCAGCACCGAATCAGGCCGACACTATCGCATTCTGGCGCGGCCTGTGGTCAGAGCCCGTAAACCACAGCGAGGACCCTTGGACGGGAGTTGTGGCGAGTCAGTGTGCGAATGTTACGCCCATGGACCCCGTCATCATAACGCCGGATGACGTAGCTGAGGCGGTCCGTAGGGCCCCGTATCGGAAAAGTCCGGGACTCGATGGACTGCATCACTACTGGCTGAAGGGGTTCATGGTGTGTCACGCTGTGCTCGCCCGACAGTTTCAAGAGGCTCTCGACCATAATTCGCTCCCGAGCCTCTTCACTACTGGGATCACTCATTTGGTTCCTAAAGACCGGGATTCCACAGACCCGAGCAAATACCGCCCCATAACCTGTCTACCTACCATATACAAGACACTAACATCCATTTTGAGCGCGAGAATTATTCGTCACCTAAACTCAAACCAGGTGATGTCGCGCGCTCAAAATGGATATCGGGGCGGTGGTCGTGGAACCAAGGAACCACTCCTCATTGACGCGGTCATTGGCAAGGTGGTTAAACGCAACTGTCGGAACCTCTCCGCCGCCTGGATCGACTACAAAAAGGCATTCGACTCGGAGCCTCATACATGGCCTAAGAGGGTCCTCGAGCTGTACAAGGTTGAATGTACAGTTCGAGAATTTCTCGGGCAGTGTATGGGGCAGTGGAGTACGATCCTTTGTCATCTAGGCGAGCGGATGACGGCTGCGGAGAACCACATAAGGATAAGAAGGGGTATCTTCCAGGGCGATTGTTTGAGTCCAATCTGGTTCTGCCTCTCTCTGAACCCTCTCAGTACCTTACTGTAGTGCTCCGGGAGGGGATTTCAGCTTCGGAGAGGAGGTACAAAAGTGACCCACCTTTTCTATATGGATGATCTCAAATTATTCGCCTCCAGTCGCTCTCATCTTATGGAATTGCTAAACATCACTTGTGATTTTATTTTACCAGGTCATAGGCCCTCGACAGGTGTAAGAAGCATCCATAAACCGGGGTTTTGCGATCTGTATAATATCTGACTGTATGTTTTAAACCTATTATTGTAAAGCTTGTATTGATAGAAATAAATTGCCATCGGGGATGTCTAAAATATACAAAACCTAATAAAAATATTTATTCGTAAAAAAAGGTAAATAATACATAGATCTTTTCTTAAACGGACGGAATTTAAAAGTGCGAAATAAAGTAAAAGTAATTACACACTTACAATAAATTATATTTAGTTTAAAAATTGATTTAAATAATTAAAAATACATAGTTACTTAAATAATAATGATAGATGATTTCTAGATCATGTAGCAGCGGCGTTGTAATATGCAACAACCCATGAGTGAAATGCCAGAAAAATCATAGCTTCCGTTAGGTGGCCAGATAACTCTCTCCAGATAGGATAGAGGCCAGAAGTAAAATGACTAGCCCAGCGACAGGGAGCAGTGTAAAGCTTGCAAGACGTCTGGTACTGCCATCACCAAACCACCTGCCAAATGAAATTTCAGGTAAGACCTTCCTATAAGACGTTTTTACGTGGTAGAGCCATGCTGTTGCTATATTACTGGTAAAGTCGTAGCACGAATGGGTCGGCTCGACCGGGAAGGAGCACGCTCTCACAGCCTACCAGCGTAAAATAGCAGTGTAACGCTGCTGTGTCTCGTATGGTGAGTGTAGAGAACCGGAGACCCCTTTTACTGGAAAAGAGGCATCCCATCTTAGTCCTCCCGGGTGATAACGCATCTGCATTTTGATTCGTAATCGAGGATAGTTGTAGATGTGTATGGGCCACAGGAACCACTTATCATCAGGTGGAATGTGTGCTCGTTTGTTACCCTTATTCTATAAAAAAGACTCACATTTAGCAGTGGACTTACGAGCTGATAAAAAGATTGGAAGAAAAAATTATTACCATTAACGATATAAATTAAAACATATGAATGAAAAACAAAATATTTAAAACATTAAAACAAGTGACCTAAAAAAATTAAAACTTATACACACGTCATAATATTATAACCCAGAAGCTGGTAGGTAATAGGTAATTCAACTAAATTAGTTACTCTTGTTAGCAAAATGAAATTGTAATTTATATAATTAACATTAACGGTCAATTAAGATATTATCAATTGAAATATGTAAAGACATGCAATGTTTGTGTATGTGTAGATATGTACGTGTAAATGTGAAAAAAAAATGAGAGAGGTGTGACAGGATCGTGCCAAAAGGAAGTACGTAGTCTCAACCTACACCTTTGGGTGAGAGACATGGGACCTTATTTATGTATGTAAAGGTTTTAAATTTTACGTGGTATCATTGATTAATAGATAACGTATGAAGGAAACGATGATTGATGGAATGGTAAAACGAAGGTGGGTGCACTCTGAGCGATTGCATTCATATTAGACGGCGTCAAACGGCCTAAGTAGAAGTACGTAATAGATGTATACGTATTATTTTATGCGTATAATATACGTAGACGTATGTATTTTAAATTGTTGTTTTGATTCCAATTAAAACCATAATGAAATATTACTTGTCTGAGAGCTGGTGACGAATTTCGGAAAGGTCCTTTTGACAAGTTGAAATTGTGAAAAAATATAATTTCGTCAATTGGCGAATCCAGTCCCGCGAGTCTGGAGTCTAAATTTAATTCTAAATTTGTCATGCGTATGGCAGGTATTATAAAATTACTCTATAAATGCGTGATTAAAATTTGAGATTGCCGAAAGTAATATTATTTTTTGAGCATTATAATAAAATATTTTGGAGAGGTCTGGTAATACTTTATATCCTACAAAAACGCCTGGAATCTTTTTTTTAAATAGTATCAAAAAGATAACGAAAAAATATAGTTGCCAAAAATATTTTTTTGGATATTGTTTTGCAAATGTTATATGCTGCGCAGTAACGAAATAACCGCAAACGCTCTCCCAGACTCGAGGGACTAGATTGGCCAATTAACGAAATTATATTTTTTTACAGGTTCAACTTGCCAAAAGGACCTTCCTAAAAAAACGTCGTCAGCTCTTGGACCATACTGTGTTTTATTTCGTGACGAAGCGAGCACTTAGCTCGTCTGATGGTAAGTGGATGCTGTGGCCCATAGACATCTACATCTGTCCTTGGTTAAGAATTAACACATCTGCATGATGCGTTGTCATCCCTGAAGACTACATTAGCTTAGAGCGGTTATTTTACGTTGGTATTCTGTAAGATCGTGGCCCTTCCCTGGTCGAGCTGACCCGTTCGTTTTACAGCCATAGTGTAGATGCACCATGGTTGAACCACGTATGAATATAGAATATTTGAACGAAGAATGACTAAAATTACCGTGAATTTCTTATTTTAATTATCCTATTATTATGTTTAGTTTCTAAAGTCTATTAGCACAACGATATCTCTAAGGCTCGGTCATGTAGTACACCAAAGCCGAGAGTATTACAAACTATAATTTTGGCAACATTTGCCGCATCTGCGTTCTCTTCCTACAGCATGAACAATATTCTAATAGCAAAGCGCAATTTAAAGAAATTTCGTTTTTATTTTAATTCAGCATAAAAAAAAACTAAAACTAGAAACTTAATTATCATATAGTCCTACTCCCCGCGGTATCGTGCCAAGAACGCTGGCTGCGTTTCCCCGCTGAATGGCTATACTTAGCCTTTGAGCGAGGAAAGAACCAGCCCTCTTATCACCAGCAGCAACGACCAGCCGCGGATGGAGTTCCTTTAGGAACTCCACCGCACGTGGACCCCACGGACGGATAGTCTCTACAGCAAATGGCACAAATATGTAGTCATCTCTCAGAGACTCATATTTGCGCCACTTACTCAGCTCAGCTGCCTCTGATGCCGCCCCGGCTTTAAACGAGGTACCCCTGAGATGAGAGGCCGCCAGAGTGTCTACGCAAGTAGCATCCCACACTAGGGCTTTACGTCTCTCCCAAGGGACCAATGTCATACCGTCGGGTCTCCTGCCATCGTCTCTAAATATTACACAAGGCTCTAAAACAGAGGTAAAATTTATAGAGACAAGAGCCCTTCGGATGGCATCGTTCAAAGAACTGTGTCGTGAAAACCTACCAGCGCTTTTCTTACATGAAAGTCCGTGGAGCCCAAACTTGTCGACGCTGATACCACAGGGGCACTGATGGGGTTGACAAATCGCCGCTCCTAGTCGGATTCCTACGGCAATACGCAAGCTTTCCCTATCAAGTAATGTGCCGAGATTACTTGATGGTAAAGCGTGTAACCAGTGACTAGATTCCTTAGTCGAAACAGCTAGAAGGCGTGCCTTATCTTGGTCACTATGGCAATTATGGAACAAATCCTTCTGCACGCCCTGTACCAACGGAATATCCCACTGTTTTTGTTGGTTAACTTCCAGTGGAATATTTTCACCAGGACAGAGCGTTTGCCATGTCTGCCCTGCCTCCGTAGCAAAGCATAGGTCTACTTTATTATTTAAAATTATGTTACATAAGTCACTGACACTATGCACGGAAGCAAGGAAAGCAGGCAATGCAACGCAAGAAAGATTTCTCACACCAATGCCACCAAATTTTATAGGTAAAGTAGCTTGAGCCCAGGCTGTTGTATTTAAAGTTAAATTTAGAATTTTTTCTATAGCAATTTTAAGATTATTATCAATATCTTGTAAAATATCCGAACATTTCCAGACTGGACTCGAGCGGAGTAAGTATGTAAATCTAGGTACAAGAAGACAATATTTTAAAATAGTAAGAGCTATGTGGGGGTTTAATTTATACAATTTATCAACGTGGTTTAAAAACTGATCAAATTTTGTTTTTAAAACAGGTTTAATACTATCGAAAAACAACGGGGCACCTAGCAGGTATAGTGATTCCGTATTGACAGTTTTTATTCCTGGACAAATATGATTAAAATTTTGAATTAAATTGTCTCTATGAGAAGTAGATAAATTATTGGAAAAAAATATTTCACATTTATTGCTATTTGGTTCAAGGCCAATATTTTTAAAATTTCGAAAAATATGAGTAAGATCGCTGAAGACGTCATCTGCTCTACCTCCCAGTGTACCGTCGTCTAGGTACCAGACATTCAGCTTGGATTTCAAATTTGAAAAAAAGGGTTGAATTCCCAAACTGAAAAGTGCTGGACCCAGAGGGTCACCCTGCTGAACACCAACAGCAGAATCGATAACATGGTTTTCGTAAAACAAGTTAGTATTTTGACTATAACATTGCCAAACGTAATGATAAATTTCGGGGGTATTGTTAGCCACTTCTTTCAGCAAGGTTACCCTATCGATAGAGTCAAAAGCATTCCTTAGGTCAACCTTCACAAAAACATCTGCATCAGAGTTTGTTAAAAATGTACGCACTGAATGTACCGCCGCCTCACAGCCACCTCTAGTGCCAAAACCTAGTTGATTAGGCTGAAATTTGGTCTTAAGGTTAGAGATTATGTACCTGCAAGCTAATTTTGAAGTTAAGCGTCGAAATGTGGATCCAACGGCAATAGGACGGATACCGTTATCCTTTTTTTTGAAGGCACATAATCTTGCCCCATATAAGAATGGAATGAAATTTGGATTAACATTACCAGAAAGCATAAAGTTACATAATTTTGTAATGTCTTTAAGAAGTACTCCGCCGGCGTCACCGGCAGAAGCGCTTACAAGATCTTTAAGATGTTGAGGCGTAATTCCGTCAATGTCGCCAGCAGAGCCATTCGAAAATTACATAATTGCTTCTAAAGTGTCTTTTTCCGAAATTTGGTAAAAAAGGTTGCATACAAGTCTTGGGAGGCAGCAGTAAACCCTGAGACGGTGTGAC